CATAGAAGTATTTTTGATTTGCGTGGGATGTGGGTGTGTGAAGAACAAATATTCTTTTACTGCTAGGTTTCCGACCACCTCATCTTGAACTCCTCAACCAATAGCCCTACATGTTGCAACTCTAAGAACACTAGCTTTTTAAGTTTTTTTTGTAAGTTTGATGCAGCAAACGGTTCGTATGGAAGACTAAAGCACAGATCAGTTCCTTCGCTTGTGTGAGATATAGCAGCAGCTGCCGACGTAGCAAAGTACAGCATTGGTTTCCGATCCAAAACGGGAGCTTCCCTTTGGACACGACGATGATTAATAAGGGTGCCAAACGTACTACTTAGATATTTAGATGGCCTGTCTTCACTTTCAGGTTCCAGCATTGTTTCCATCCGTTTCTGATGTTGCTAATGCGGCAGCGAGGAGATCCATTACCCTTATTGGCTGAGAATTCAGCTGGTCTATCCGTGCAGCCAGCAAGTCAGCACATCTGGTTGGTGACCTCCCCGAGGATGTTTTTCTTCGCGGGGGATCCATTCCAGAGTTCCTAGTGTCCATCTGTCGTCTGTTCCTCTCGTTACATGACCGGCACATTGATGTTTTGCTACAGACACGTATCCCGCTAGATTGAGAAGAAGAGACATTGTTCTCATATCTGAACTCCGACGCTATAATGAATGCGTGGGTGTACTTCAGAGGACGCCGTTTCCGCGCTCTGTGGATTATTCGGAGGGCTTCGACGTGGCCAAGTCAGCTCACGTCTCTGCTGCGTAACAGAGTGCAGGCAGACCGTTTAATCGAACAGGTGGGCTCGGAGCTTTAGTCCGTCAGTTGGTCTGTGGCTTCCTTTGGGGGCCCGAAGGCGGCCCAAGCTGCTGCCTCCTGTTTGGTTCTTCTTTCAGAACGTTATCCATGTTCATAGAGCCCGAGCTGTATGTAAGAAGACGTCTTTGCGTTGGAGAGCTTTCTAATTCCATTCCCTGATTCTCACAGAAAGCGTCATTCATGAACACATTCTTCTTCCGGTTGATTCGCGGTCCAATCCGTTTCTTCGTTTAATTCTTTCAACACCGTCTCCGCTTCACTGGTATTCCTCCGCAAAATGAAGGATAGAAAGAAACTTCCCACCAACTCTACTTCTCTTGTTGCAGTCTAGTGATCATAACCCTCTGTAAGGCGGTGGCAAACAGCTTTGGCAACACGCTGTCGCCTTGTCAAACCCAGTTCGATTTTGTGGAAAGGGGGCAGTGGAAAAGCTGTAGAGTTGTTGAGCAGTTCTTGTAGCAGTCGGCCAGTGTCCTCACGTAAGATACCACGAGCGCTGACACTATGGCATTAGTCTCGACCGTCAAACGCTTTCTCATAGTCAACGCAGGTTAGGACGGAAGGTAGGCCGTACTCTCGGCAAACCTCCTTAATCCTCGAAA